ATTTAATTATAAATGTAAGACCTAAATTCACTTGGTTTCTTATATTTATCATTTTCTCCCTTCAATTAATTTACCTAAATTATACATTGGTATATAATCTAATGTTATATAGAAATCTTTCAAGAAAATTATATCACACTTTGTTATAATTAACTAACTTTAACCACTTTAATCTACTCATCAAATTAATTAAATATGCCTCCAGTTCTAAATATAAGATCTTTATACACATTAGTATAAAAGTCTTATGTTTAGGATCGGAGGAGTAGTTTTTATATTAAAAATCCAAGGTAGTATATGCAAATATAAAGCCAGCAGGAGCCAAAAGCAAGCTGATAGGCCAATGGCAAAGACGTATTTTTATGCATAACATGAAATCAATGAGATGCTTTTAAGTTATGAAAAAAAAATAACAAACTTCATTGTTTACATTGAATAACATTGATATGTAATAAAAGAATGGAAATGATCGAAAACTAATTAAATTATAATATTAACAGGGATGAGTAAAATTTTAGAAATAATAAATCTACGAATTATCTAAAATTCATGAAATTTAAAAGCGGTATTTCCTTTATATTGCTTTTTCTTTTTTCCGTCTTCTTAGGGATTGGCCGCCATTGTATTGCTTGACGGGGACAGCCACTCTCCCTTGGTTAACAGGCTTTTTCCATTCACTTTGTCAATTTCCATTTAAATATTATTTTCCGTCTTTTCTTTGACAGAATCTGGTTTTAGGTTTCGGGTATATTAAAAAAAACAAAAAAAACAAAAGCAATCTAGTTTTAGATTTTGGGTGCGGGGATTCCGGATCTATTGATTACTACTTTTTCATATTAATATTATTATTTAGTGGGAAAAATCTTAATGCTACTACATGAAAAATTCTGATTCGCACACATTAAATTAAACTCCTAAAGAAATATTCTTACATTTTTTTATTTTAATAACTAAATAATTATTCTTTAAATTTCGTTATTAACATACACACACATATTTTCTCTACATTTTCGAAATGTCAGAAAGTTCAAAATATAAAAGAAAATTTTTTCCTATCTTTCTCATTTGTCTGTTTTATTTAGTTTTGATCTTTTAAAAAAAAAAAATTTGGGCAACAGTTTATTAGTGTTTGACGGTTTTTTACACACTATTATTGATTGAGGTATGATTTGTATCAGTTTTGAAATTTTAAAGAATAATAATTCGACACTGTATTTTACTAATATTTATTATTTGAATCAAGAATTTCAAGAGATTTATAGTTTTATTTTTTTATTTTAAAATAATTTTAAAAGCTTAGAATTTAAAAATGATATAAAGGGTTGGTCTTTTTAGGTCCTAGCTTGTCAAGGGTGGTCCTTTAGGGCTGAGCAAGCCCTTGTTGACAGCTTTATATCTGGATTAATGGTGAAGATTTAATATTCCACTTTACGTGATAAATATATATGTGTGAAAATAGTTTTGTCTTATAAAGTTCTAAGTATTGGGAGGATAAATTCTCCAACTTCATGGATAATAAAACATGATTAATTTTGATAACCATGAAAAAAGTAATATGATAGCTTTTTAAGAAAATAATATACAAGTCAGTGAAGATTAATCTAACTATTAAAGCCGCAACTCATCTCCTATAAACATGTTTTTGTTACTCACATGAAGATCTTGTTGTTGAGAGATGATTCTACTATCGTGCCAATATAGTCAAAATGTGCTGATTTAGACCGTCAGATTATATATTGATCTAATTGCTGTAAAACAAAGGAGCTGTAATAATCATCCCAATCCTTTTTCAAATTTGATCTCTGAATCCCACCACTCTCTCCTGACCTTGGCCATTCCTCTCAGTCTCCTCCTTCGTTGATCAACCCTGGAAATGTCTACAAATGAGGAAGAAGGTCACAAGTTTGCGAATAATAAAAGGAAAATCAATATGATGTCTCAAGGGAAAAAAAATTAGGGAGAATTGCAATAAGATCACGTGGAAGGAACATATTCACAAAAAAAAAAAAAATTCAATGACAAGTGAGTAGCTAAAACATGTTATTTCCCACTGTAAAACTTATCATTATGAGCTGCTCGGTTGTTATGAGACTTTTTTGTGAATATGTTCCTTTTATGGGACCTTATTGCAATTTTTTCAAAAATTTGAAAGTCTTAATAACAAGTGAGTAGCATGGGTCTTGTTGTCATTTAATGTATTGAAATTTGCCATTCACTTGTTATGTGATATTTTGGTAATTATGTTATTTTTTTAATATTACATCGGAATTTTTTGAAGAATAAATATGTAACTTGATGCTCACCATTTCCATAGAATAAAGTGCACAAACAATATAAAATCCAATGTCAAACATTAAGACACCTTCAGAGTCCAGACCACAGTGAACTTTTATTTATAGCGGAGCTTTCATGCTATATATTAAGGCTAAGCAATAAATGAGTAACATATAATGATAAGTTTCAGTACATGAAATAACAATAAGTTCATGTTGTCTACTTATTATGAAATTAAATTTTCTAGGAACTATATTCATTTTTCTATTGGCCCATACATATTAACACACATCTATACCATTCCACCGTACCATTGGACGGCCGCCGTAGACACAAATTGGATAAAATTTATACAGAATTTTAAATAAAGTAAAAAAAATCAATAAAAATCGGATAAAAATGTTTTTAAAAAATTAAATTAGAAAGTTATGGGGGTGGCGGGTGGAAAAGGCAAATAAATATAGTGAGGTTAATGGAGATGTTGTGGGGATGGCAGAGTCGGTGGGTGGGTCGTTGGGGCCACTTTTCTTTTCTTCTGCAAATGTGGCCTCTGACGCTATCTCCACTTTTCTCCCTTTCCCCTGTTCCATTTCGACCCAACTTCCCATAATCTTTTCTTTTCTTTTTCAAACTTCATTTTTTAAAAAAAAAAAATTTTCCCTGTTTTCCTCCCATCGATAGTGATTTAGCACAATTGAAAAACTTAATATATTTCTTAAGTAAACTTAGGATTTAAATCTTATAAATGAATGAACTTGGCTCTAAATAAACTCTTGATTAAGAAAAAAAAAATTAAACATTTGAAAAAGATACACCTTAGCTTCAGTATTTGAATTTTAATACAATTTATTAGCGACATTAATTAAGAAGTAATTTTCTTTTGAAAAATACTACATCTGGTTCTAAATATAACTAGATCTTATATTTAAAACTGGAGGTAGTATATTTGATCATGACATTTGAGTTGAGTTGAAAATTTTTTTTTAAAAAAAAAGGTGGTATAATCTAATAGGCACAATGTTGGATTTTAACAGTTATATGTTGACTAAAATTTATTAGGTATGCATTTAGTTTCAAGCTGAAAATTATTAGTTACAACTGTTTCTAAAATCATGGTTTGGGTGGTTTTTATTAGTTTATTACAATCTGGCTCAGAATGAATAATAATAGCAAAGAGTTGTGAAAACGAATTCTAGTTTTTTAATTAGTAACGTTATGAATGAATTTGCTAGTAGATTTTTGAATCAAGCCCCCATCTGACTTGAAAAACTTCAAAATTAAAATAACCAAAAATAAGTCAAAATCCAATAATACTACTTCTCATCTTTAATATAAGAGTTAGTAGTTTTTTTTTTTTTAAATTATCCCTATTGATTGTAAGAGGTTTCAACCGAGGGATATTTTCCATGCACATAATTAAATAAGACAGTTTTAAAAATTAACATATATTTGTTATAATTAACTAACTTAATTAATTTTTTTAATCTTCTTAAATTAATTAATTATATAATTTTTATATTAAGAATCAGAGGTAATATTATTTAACATTAGTAAAAAGTCAATTAACAATGCTGGTGAAGTGGAACCATAAAAAATTTAATTAATTAATTTATATATAAGCGTGGAAAGATATTTACTTAACTATAACTGACTTTCAGCATGTATGTGTGTCGTGTCTATATATATATATACAGAGTTTGACAAGAGTTCCTCAATGTCATTCTAAGGTCAAAACATTAATTTTTTTTATATTATTGCTTATAGGATACAACTAGAGTGATACATGGACAGTTGTGAATCTGTTACATTTTATTTCTTCAATTATACATATTATAAGGAAAAATCTCAAAAAAAAAAAAATGGTTGTTGAATTTCAAAATTTCAAATCAGTATTAATTACTATACTCATAAAGAAAATAACTACATTTGAAAAGCAAACGATAACACGTTTTTATAGTGATTCCTATTTTAAAATTTTGAAATTCAAATAATCATTTTTTTGGGATTTTCCTTGTATTATAATGCTTCAGAAAATTCTTTCATTTTAACCCTCGATGTTAAAGCATATGTGGAAGTCTTTATGTTATATTTTTAAATCATTGTCTTGCTCATTTGATGAAGGATTCTGAGGACAACACAAGTCTGAAAATTTAAAAGAATAAAATTTAAAAATACTTAAAACTTAATAATTTTCTTTTGGCCAAAAATATAATCATTTTCAGAATACCAAAATTTCTTGATAAATAAAACTATAACTGATTTTTTACAAATGTATAAATAAATTAATTACTTAAATTGGATGTAATAGATGACTTCTCTTAAATAATGAGTCAGACAAATACTCAAATATCGAATCTTACCTATCGAATCCCTAATAACTATATAGAAAAGTGACAATAAGTCTTGAAAAGAAATTGACTTTTTTTCCTCGGCGTGATCCACAGATTGAATGATTACTTATTAGAAGCAAGTTATATTGTGTGGTGAATGAAACCAACATAGTTAATTGGTGTGTGACGGCAAGGCCCACCCAATGAAAATATTGCAATTCTGAGAGGGAAAAAAAAGTTGATGACACACAAGAAAGAGAAGCAGTGCTATTCATATGCATGCATGTCTCTAATAACTTTGCTTTTTTTTTTGCCTCCCCCCCACCCCACCTCCCTATAAATATTCCCACACCTCTCATTTCCGATAAAAAAGAGAAATACTTTTCCATTAAGTATTTTCCAGTTATATATCTACAAAAATGGTTAATTCACTGAGATCTCTCTTCCTAATAATTTCATTATTTACCATACTCTTGATGCTCTCCAAGTCAACCAGCGCAAGGCTCCATCCCAGAAGAAATAACACCTCGCCATCTTCTTCTCCTCCTCCTTCTTCTTCGCCTTCTTCGTCTTCTTCTTCTTTAGGTGATGGGAATAAGAAGTTTTGTCTGAGTTGGAGATTAGGAGTGGAGGCGAACAATGTGGTGGCGTGGGGCACAGTGCCAAGGGAGTGTCAGAAGGAGGTTGAGAGTTATATGATCGATGGGCAGTACGACGAGGATTTGGATTTGGTCATGCAACAGATCTCCACTTTCCTCAATTCCATTCCTCTTTCTTCTGATTCCTTGGATGCCTGGGTCTTGGACATTGACGAGACTTGCCTCTCCAATCTTTATTATTACAAAACTAAGAGATTCGGGTGCGTATCATTCTCTCACTCTAGCTGGCCTTTTCTGCTTGCACACGCAAGTAGTAAATGTAAACATCTCTCCTATCAAGAATTTGAATCTTCGTTCATCACATGACAAGGGACTAATCCTTTTTATACTAAATTCAACCTGCCGGTCTCTCACTCTATCCAGTCTTTTATTACTGTGAAGTTTTTAACGTTAATGAGGTGATCAATATTATATGTATGTATAGGTGTGATCCATATGATCCTGTGGGGTTCAGGGCGTGGGCCAGCAAAGGAGGGAGCCCGGCAATATCTCCTGTGCTTCAATTATTCAATAAACTCTTGGACAAAGGATTCAAAGTGTTCTTAGTCTCTGGGAGAGACCAGGAGACTCTTGGTCAGGCCACCATCAACAACTTGCATAATCAAGGCTTCATTGGCTACCAACGCCTTATTTTAAGGTAACGTATGTAGTGCCTCCGGTTGGAAATTGGATTTTTTTTTTTGGGGTATAACTTAGAGTATTGTCAAGCCACTTTAGGTTTGAAATTAATTTCTATCAAGCTAGGAGCGTTAAAATTAAAATCCTTTCAACAAATATGCTTTTCGAAATTTGAACTTTTATTCTTCTCCTTACAGAAATGAGACCACTTACTATCTCACCCAACACATTGTTGGTGGTTGGAAATTAAATTTGGTTCTAAATATAATATATTAATTCACTTTATCTTCTAATTTGTAATTTATTTTCCAAATTATCCCTATTAATTACATATATTAAGGGGATTTCTATTAAAAGGTAGTTATGATTTGAGTAGCTCCTAAGGAATAATACTAAATTATTGATCCTTTCATTTCCATCACATGTTTATTTTGCAGAAGAGATTGAGTTGAATAATGCATATGCATGCATGTTCATAAAAACTCAATTATTTACATTTACAGTTTTATTATTGGCACTTTCTGTCGTTGGGTTTTGATGAATTAATGAGCAAAAGGGGTGGTTTTTTTTTTAAAATTATATATGCAGGAGTGTAGAATATAAAGGACAAAGTGCAGTGAGGTACAAGTCGGATATAAGGCAGAAATTAGAGAAGGAAGGTTACAGGATTTGGGGTAATGTGGGAGATCAATGGAGTGATATACGTGGAGACTCTACCGGCAATCGCACTTTCAAGCTTCCTAATCCCATGTATTTTGTTCCCTAACTTCCAATTATTAATGTTTCTTTTGTTTTATATGCTTTTTAGTTTGCACCATGTTTGGAAGTTCAATCTTCGTCATGGCTCTCTCACTATATTTATATCCGAATAAAAATAATATCACAATGATGCATTACAATATTAACTAATTTCCCCTTGTTTTGTTTGAATGTCTCATTAGCCCAATAGAGAAAAATATAAGGAAATTATGTTCTCTTTTTTTTAATAAAAATATTTCAAACTGAGCTTATATATGTTTATGAAAGAATGACAGTTGATTCCCAAGAGCATCAATTTAATTAAAATTAGACCCTGAAAAAAGTTTCTATAAAATTAATTAAAAATAAAAAAGTCATATATTGTTTCAAATTCATGAGAATGAAACATTTATGTTTTAAATATATATTAATTTATAATTGAGAATTCTATTTGCAATTGATTTATAAATTATTTTTTAGAAAATTTTGTCAAAGACATGGCTGTTATAAGATTTATATTTTAAAATATAAGCACAAAGAAGGAGAAGACGCCAGGTCTTATGCCAAGAAAATTTATGTGGGTCAAGTAGGAATGAGTAATAGTAGTATATTTGACCCACAAACACAACCCAGCATGATTACGTCATCAGTCTCTCCTTTTTTGACGTGGATTTGACTCGGCCCAAACCGACCCAAATAAAGGAAGAAGAATTGGTAACTACCATTAAAAAAAAGAATCCGTGAAATTAAGATTTAAAAATTAGGCGTGAACCTGGCGCATTATTGAGAAATGAATTATATTAGTCATAATTTATATATTATATTATAAACTCGGTAAGAATTTATATTTTACATTTAATTTTACACTAATGAATATTGTATAGTGTGTATGTTTAATATAAATTGTTTAGGTTTATCTCTCTCTGTTTTTTTTAAATTTTGGTATATTGTTTTATCTTAAAGAAGAAGAATAGAGAAGGAAACATTATTCATTTCATTGCAATATATATTATAATACGGAAAAATTGCCTACAGTAGCGACGAATTCCGTCAAATTTTGAGTATATATAAAGCTTGAGCAGCTTCCATGGCAGCCCCTTGAAGCTGCTTCTTCTTCGTAACAATCCCCGTTTTACTTTCAACACAATATTCAGAGTTTTCACCATGGCTCCCTTAGTAAAAGCCCATTTATCCTCCACCCCAACACCAATGCCCCACGCAGTCTCCAGCATCCTCGTATTCAGCGCCTCTGATCTCCGAAAACGGCCGCCGCCAAATACACATCTCCAACGATGCTCTCCAAGACCGAGTTCCACCTGCAGTTCATCACAGACATACCACTATGTTTGGCACGGGGTTTTGGAAGGGAGGGAGGTGCTCTCCTCCTTTGTTTGGCTGGTGCAATTTTTAAGAGGAGAGGGAAGCACCCCTCCCCTCGTTTGGTTAAATATTTTTTAAAGAGGAGAGAGACTCTTCTCCCCTCCTCTTTTTTTTTTAGTCTTCCCTCAAAAGTGAGGTTTTTTTAAAGGGAATATGAGAGATAATATTTTAATTTTTCATATACCCTTCGATTTGTTAACCCCTAATCAATCATGAACATTTCTACATGAGAGAGTTCTTTTGAGTATCTAACAAGAGGTTGAGATATTCTCTCCAAAATTAGTAAGCATTTGTAAACCTTTTATTTTTTTCTCTTCTTCTAATTCCAAGAGGCCGTCGGTATTTTCTTTCACCTTCAAGGTTTTTTCTCTGATTGAAATCTATCACTCATGACTCTCTATCTTGATATCCTATAAATGTGTGACTGTATCTTGTAAATCAAAATTGGTGAATTGCATTATATATATAGTTATATCTTAACAAAATAAAAAGGTGAGAAAATTCATTTAAATTTTATGATTTTAAAATAGTCAATTTTTTATTAGAACAAAATAAGGTATTATTAAAATTGCTCCCTCCCTGCCAATCAATCCAAATAGGAGATCATTAAAATCCCTCTTCTCCCTTCCCCTCCCCCCCCCCTCCCCTCCCCTTTGGACCTACCCCCCTTTCCTCCCTCCTCTCCCCTTGATTAAAATCTCCCTTCCCTTTCCCTTCGTCGAGCCAAACACAGTGTTCATGTTGAGGTGCCTGTGAAACACCCTCGCCCTTTGTTCTTGTTTGTTCTCATTAAGAATCCTCGAGGTAGTTTGTTTTTCAAAATCTCACCCCTAACACACTGTGTTTGGTATGGGGTTTTCAGAGGAGAGGGGGAAGTGGCTCCCCTCCTCTCGTTTGGCTGGAACATTTTTAATAGAGGAAAGAGAGTTGTTTCCCTTCTCTCATTTGGCCAAAACAATTTTTAAGGAGGGGAAGGGCTCCCATTCCCTTTTTTCCTCTTGGCCTGCCCTCTAATAAAGGTGGGGTTTTTTAAATGGGAGATGATGGAGAAAATATTTATTTCATAACTAGGCTTAGTAAAATAACATAATTTCTCTTTTATCCTCTCTTGGCCCTTTATTCTACACTTCTCTCTCAATCTTACAATTTTAATAACTCTAATAAACTGAACTTCATTCTTCTATTATATTCAACAATTTAACTAGAAAAATCAAACTACTTAGATTTTGCTAAAAAAATATGAAATGATAAAAATCATTGGGACATAAAAAAGAAACGATGAAGAATTATAATATTTTTGAAAAAGTCAATATAGAGTAATATTAACTTAAGCTAGATTATAAGCATCTTTTAATCTTTTAATTAGTAAAAATTAAAAAAATAAGGAATAAAAGATAAAAAAGGTTTAAAATGTAATTTTTCTTTTGAAATCCAGTAGAATCAACGAAAACATTATGGAAAAAAATTCGATTTCAATTTTTTTTGTTTTGTTTTGTTTTTCTCAGTGAGTGTGCTGTGGCAAAAGCACAACCTAGTGTTTTTGTTTTTCAAGTTGATAAATTGCCTCATACATATTGATATAAAATAAAAAAATAAAAAAATTTATTTAAATTTTATAAGAGTAAAATAGTTAATTTTTGAAGAGCTCTCGTTCCTTCCCCTCTTATGCCAAATAAAGTATCATTAAAATACTTTCCTTCCTTCCCCTCCGATTAATCTAAACAAAGGATTATTAAAATTCTTCTCCTCTCCTCCCCTTCCTTCCCATCCCCTCTATATCTCTCCTCCCTTCCCGTACCTCTCATTCCCTCCATTGAAATCTCTCCTCTCCCCTTCTCTCTGTTGAGTCAAACACAGTGTAAATGGCCAAATGAAATGGAAGCTACATTCCTCTAAGGCCTCTGCAAGAACATATTAATGAATTTGACACCATAGTTTGGAGGAGTAAGATCATCATTTGATGAACGTTCAGCTTTTGAGAAAATCTATTCTCCAAAATCACTTTTTTTTTATTTCCAAATCTCGTGTTTGTGTATTATTAAAAGTGCTTTTTTAAAAACACTTTTTTACAAATCAAGATAAACTCCTCTACACATTTACTTCATGTATCATAAAAATATTTTTAAAAATTATGGTTTTAATTCTATTCAAAACACCCCTAAGTCAGTAACTTTTACCTCTGAAGACCCAATAAAGAAATCTAGGTTTTCATCTTACCTCCATTGCAATCTACTACCTCCTGTGTGTAATATATAAAAAGTTAGTTTAACTTTTAATTCAATCTTAAATATAAATTATCATTTATTTTATTCCTTATATTTATTCATTTTTCTCAAATTACTCCTTGTAGTGGTTGTATATGCCAAATATAATATCTATTCATTATAAATAATTAACTTAACAAACTTTTTTAATCTACTCAAATAAGTCAATTATGAGAGTATTTTCTTCTCTTAAGGGTATATATGTCTGTGTAAATATGAGAAAGACGAGAATGAGGACCTGCGGTCCAAAAAAAGGAACCCACCTGGCACCCATTTCTTCTGCCACATCAGCACCAAACCATAAGAAGTAAGAACGCATCAGTATCATTAATCAAACATCTAAACCTCTTCCCCGTCTCTTGCACCACCTCGTCCATGGCTGTCCTATAATTCTCAGTCATTGCCTTCAAGAACAAGTTTCTAAGTTCCAGCGGTGCCCTGCCGCCACGAACCCCTCTGGCAAGCCTTCGTGGACCCTATAAGGTCTCACTCTAGCGCGAAGCTTCTCGGTGTTGAATTCTGCGATGACAGAGGCTATGGATTCTGCTGTGCTGAAGAATGAGAACGTGATGTTTTAGAGAAGAAGATGCAATTTTCTGAATACCAAAACGGCGACGTTCGCGACGTGCACCGTCACATCATTCAGAACCTATAAAATGTAGCAGCTTTCTATCATTAATTCAGTGTTACTCTTCCGGTTATATTTATAAGGCAGATTGAAGGTTTTTCTTGATTTTATTTATAAATTATCTCATTAAATTTTTACTGTATACTATTTGTTATAGTATAAATAGTTAATTTTTCAAAGTGTATATATTAAATAAAAATGAAGTTAAAAATTCCTTATATTTTAAATACTCTATAACTATGATCAAGGGAGTATATCTGAGTATGAAAAATTGAATCTATTATCATTCATCAATATAAGATATAAAACTTACACCAAATCCTTTATAAAAACTATGAATAACTTTTCTCTGAAACTCTAAAGCCGGACCAAGGATTTGGTATATAGTTTGTAGTTAATTATAAGAACATTCGATGGGAGGTACAGGGTACCTAGTTTTATCAGAGCAATAATCATAAGTCATATACTTGTTCTTAACATTTTGATAAGCAGCTTGTCTCTGAGGATCCAACTGCCAGAACTGGCTTATTCCACCAGAACTTGTTAGAAGCACAATCATTATTATTACTGCTTGAGGGTTGAAGTTGGCAGCCATTAACATCAAAAGCTTGAAAGAAAGCTTTGAAAGGAGCAAAGCTCCAATTGGTTTTGGCTTTGCCTCCATCAGTGGCCCAACTATCTCCATCCCATAACGTTGCTTCGATTTGCATTGCCTTTGATGGGTATGCCACTCCCTTATTGCTCTTGTTCTTGTATACCTTATTGGGATATCATCCACATAAAACCTGCCAACCCCATCAATTCTAATAATTATCTGAGAGAATACACACACACCACACACGTGTATCACTTATACTGGCAAAAAAGGAGAAAAGCTAGTTTGATTAATTCCTTGTGTCTCTATCTATATAATTTGTGAAATGACTTTAGGTTTCAAAGTCTTAAAATTGAATGGCGCCAACTCTACATATCAGAAGAAAAATTATTTGTCGAGTAGGAAAAATTATATTATTATATACTACCCTTTGACTTTAATATAAGATATATTAAACTAATTTGGGTTGATTAAAAAAATAATTATATTAGTTATTTGTGTTGATTGTCCTAAAATACCATTTTAAATCATTTGGATCATAACTATATTTTGATACAAACTTTCTTAACATATACAATCAATAGGGTTAGTTTGGATAAACAAGGGAAAAAAAATGAATTGAAGTATTATATTTAAGACCAAATTCAACTTCTCTACTAGTTTTATGTTAAGTGGAAGGTAATGCCCATATATATAAAAAGTAGGTGTTGCGATTTAGTGCACGGGGGGAAAAGTACATATATAGGGATCATACTCTACATTAATGGATAGTAAAACTCGCAATGATGTTGCAGCACCAAAGTGGTTTGCAGGTTGAGAGAATTGACTTTTAAGTTTTATTAAAACCTACTATTGAGTTTCAGAAAAATTTCTTTCAAAGTTACATAATAATCATATATATTGAAACACTAGATGCAAACTTCAATTATTAGGAATAACAGCAGCTTTATAATTACACATAAGTTTTTATGGTATTATTTTATTTTCAAATTATAAGGATTAACTGCGTATGATTATGAAGCTTTAGAGATAAATAATAAATTTTAAAGATCAAAGCAATAACCAAAATAAGTTTTAAGAACTAAAATTTGATCATGATGATGAGAGAAACACGTACACTAGTTGGTGGGGGTTCCAAAGAAGTTTGTAATCGTGAAAATCAGCAGAGGGATCAAACCAAAGACGAATTCGTTGTTCTTTGTTGCCTTTGCCATCTGCGAACACATTTGTCTGTAACGTGTAAGGCTTGCCTTCTCTATTCCCCAAGAACTCAAAGTCCACTTCGTCATGTCTCTCTCCTTGGGATGTCAGCTGCAACATCAAATATATAATTAATTACGTCACATTATTTCTCATATCTCAAATAATTATGGAAAATCATTATCTTATATGCTCTTAAGAGAAAAAAATGTAATTACTACAAAATTTCATAACAACTTTCAGTGTAAAAAATGATAATAAAGTTTTTGCTGATCACTTGTATATTGAGACTTTTCGGTCAATAAATTCTTCTTTTGAGATCTCATAATGATTTTCTCAATATTTATGTGCTCCTGAGAAAGCAATGCAATTACCAAAAAGTCACATAACAAGTAAGCATAGAATAAGTTTTAGGACAGAAAATAACAATAATTAAGATGCATCCTGGTTACTTGTAATTGAGACTTGTTGACAATTATATTATTCTCTTGACACTGCTTATAATGATTTCCCGATGTGTATCATCAATTATAAAACATCCTATTATTTCATCCCTATGCATGAAAGCTTCAATGTTTTTTTTTTGTTAATAATAAAAAGATTAATTATATAAACTGAAGAGAATTACACATCTTTGTACATGTCAAATTAAGGCTTCAATACTTAAGTGATGAGAATTAAATGCTCACATAGTAAGCTGTGACTACTCCAGCGGAATCTCTGTCTGGTACTTTTATCTTCAAATGGAAAAACCCTGACCCGTAATTCATCTTGGATCCAAAGCCAGACCCTGTCAAGAAAACACATAAAAAAGAAGAAGAAGAAGCATAAGGCAGAAATCAATATAATTAAACGGGTCAATATATAATTAATAAAAAATTGATCAAGAATTGATAAGACTGATTTTTTGTTTTTAATATACTATTTTAATAAATATTATTAAAAAGTATAATTAAGCATAAAGTATATTATCGTAATTATAGTTAAGCTGATCGCACGTCTCAGTCTACGGTCATAGCAGAATCAATAACTTTAAATAATGAACCTATTAGTTTCAGTAACTGGCTCAATTTGTAATTAGATGGAAGGCGTGAGAATTAGGTCCTATATAAATCTAAATTTCTTAATCAACTCTCTCCTATACGCAATTTAGATAATCGGTATTAATGATTTCAATGGGTTAGATCTTTAATTATTCCGCGTTGAAAATATAGGATTATGATAATATAGAGTTTTTGTCAATTTTTAATCCTCCAATTTTTATGTTGTGCCAATTTTTCAAACATGATTTCCCCAAAAAATAATTCCTTTCTAACAACCACCTAATTTCTTAGCCATATCCAAAATTACCTAACCATAACGTACAGTCCTTAATTAAAGAGAAAGAAGAACTTACAAGTTCATGCGTTTTTTTAATAAACGTAATTAAATAGCATTAACAAAAAATAAATTTAGAAAAAGCATCTGAATTAAAGTGGATAGGTTTAAGTGTCGTTTGTAATTCTTTTTCATTATCTGAATGTATGAACATGAAGGGTTTAATTTAGTTTGTTAAACATCATCGCCAAGGTTAATTACACAATATAGTTTTGATTATGTTTAGTTATTACGAAAAAATGATTATTTGTCGCAAATTAAAATTCACGAGCCCAATATTTGCATGTCTTATTATGTGCTTTAATAATGAAGTGTTATGAAGTCACAAGGTCGTTGAATTGTATGGCAAATGATGATTGGTAAGATATGACATCTTAACTAGATCATTGTACTATTTCAGTTGTAATTTTTA